TGCCTGCCGCCCTGTACTTCTGCCTTTCATCCCAAAACCGGCTTCCCCCCCCCCCGTGGAAATAACATCCTGAGCAGCAGTATTTGATGTGACACACAATGTCATTTGTAGCAATAATGAAAATGGGCTTGAGGTGAAAACAGGCATGAGGGGGGTTGTCAGTTGTTTGGAAGGACGTGGCTGTGTCTTTCCTCTGGACAGCAAGCGCCAAATGTTTTGCCCAGCCGGGATGTGTGACATCAGCAAAATTGAGGAAATGAACCCCTGCAAACTAGAGCAGCTGATTTTCCTTAAAACCTAGGGTATTTTGGGAACACCTCTAATGCAAACATCTGGAAGACCTGCTCAGAGGGGTCTCCCAGAGGGTCCCAAGCCCTTGATGCCATAGCTCCTGCTGATTCAGCAGAACTGCAGGTGCACCAGAAGCCAACAGGCGCAGAAACGTGTTGGGTCAAACAATCCTGTGACAGGAAACACTCCTGAGCGTTACCGTCTTCCGTTTCCAATGAATCCATAGCCTAGAGACCAAAAATAATCATTTTCCACCTCCCCAGTGTGGCAGCAGAAGTCATCTCTCACTAAGACTTGCTTCTGAGGAAACAGCTGAAATGTTCTACCCCAGGCCTGGAAACCTCCACAGACTTGCAAATACCTGGGCTTCAGCCAAAAGCCAAGGTGACGCCAGCTCTCCCCACAGCCACGGCCACCCAGCCCATGGGCAGCCCACGGGCAGCCCACACCCACCTCACATCTCAGCAGGCATCACCGACAGCCCCGTTATCTTCCTCTGTCCCGACCAGATCCCAACGCCCAACAAGGACATCTCCAAGATACTCACCGCTGCTTGCTGATAGGCTTTGGCTCCCTAAAGAGTGAACAAAAGAAAAAAATAAGGAACTTTCCCAGCTTAACCCCCTCCCTTCAGCCATCTTGGTGGCTTGGGGGGAGGCCTGGACTCTTGCTGTGACCCCAGGGAAAACGATGGCTGCAAAGAGCCAACCAGCCACACCTCGGCTCTCCCCCCCTTGGTTCGATGGCACAGGCAACAACAAGCCACAGCCTCGCTGCCTACCCACTCTTGCCTGAGAGCAAAACAGAGAAGGTTGTGGCAGGAAAGAAAGAGGACTGAGGTCTTGTAGCAGCTGAAATTTGCCCCTAGAAGAGCTGACACGCTGGGGGCTGTTTGGGCTTTTTTACTCCTTAGATCATAGGTGCCAGTAAGTCAGCACGCTCTGCATGAAGTCAGAAAAACTGCTGCAAGACCTATTTGTCTTAACACACTGACTGTCCTCCAACAGTAAGACAGCAAATGCTGCGGGGTGGGGCACTGCGGGTGGATTTCACTGTTGGCTAAAACACAGGAACAACTGCATTAAGAATGTAACATGGCTTGACAGGCTGGTGAGGACATTAGATGGCTGAAAAACCAGTAACCAGTACAGGATCAGCCTGGCTGAAGCCTCCACAGAGGGGATGTGCCTGAAGATGTGCTAATGATGAATGAGACCCACCCAGGAGTCCATGGATCTATGCAACTCCAAACAAATTTGCAGTTTTCCCTGCATGTGTAGTGAAAACTTTGGTGCCAGAAGCCTTTAAGGAACATGATGCATATCCACAAGCACTCCTTGAGAACAAAATAAAAGTCATTGAAACATCCATCTATTTTTTTAAGTAGGCAAAAAGCCATTTACCACTCTCTAACCCCCCAGCTGAGACAGGAGCTGTGCTTGCAAGCGACGGCAGCCCGTGGCACGGGATGCAGCCACAGTTCTCAGGCCAGTTGCTCCACTTGCTTTCACTGGCAGTGGATTTAATTCCTGCCCTGGTTTGCAGCTTTTCCAGCATATTCGAGGCCTCTCTTCAGCCCTCAGTAAAACTTTGCTGTGTGAACTAAGTGATGGCAAGAAGATCCGAGGACATTTTGGACTCATCCCCGTAATAAAAGCTCTGCAGCTCACCTACAGTCATGCATTCGCCACCAGGGCGGCAGCAGTATAACGTGAGCTAAGGTGTGTGAGATAAACAACATGTCACCACGCCAAAGCCCCTTGTGTAAAAACACCTGCAACAGCCTTGAAATTTGGGCAAAGCAGAACTTAGGTTCTGTTCACTCCTTTTTGCTTTAACACGCTACTGGAAGGCGGTAAAGGGGGACAGAGCAACAAACATCCAGTCCTGCTTTTCATTTTCATTGTGAACGCCAAGGTCCCCAGTGAATATTCTGCCCCGTCAGAGCATTTTGCAGTGCTTTGATTTCTCCTCCCAGTTCTGTGCTCTTGGCTTTCAGTGCGATAGCTCACCTTTGCCAAATGAGCTGATTCAGTATTCAGTTACACGTCCTTTGCTCCCTTTTTTTTTTTTTTTAATCAAAGGGTGAAAAGGAGCCAAGCTGGAACTTGATATTGACTCCTTTTAATTGCAAGGGGGAGAAGTCATCTGCAGCAAGTATGACATACAGCAGCAGCAAGCACAAAACGTATAGTACAACAGTAGCTGAGCAGAGAGACGCTCTCAAGCTCATTGGCTTCCTGCAGGATACCAAGGACTTAATCATAAGAGTTTTGAAGTTTTTAAATGTCAAAGATGACAGAGCTCTGCATAATGGGAATAGTTTCAATTGGGCCACAGCTGCCAGTTCTGTCTCCTGGGCTCTGTATATGTAATCCTCCCAAAAAGGATCTTCAGCCTCACTTGACCAACAGAAATCAAGACACAGAGCTTAAATGATTTCGCAAGGCAAGCAGAGAGGATGAAGACCCACCACAAGACCATGTCAGCACAGGCTCCCCTCTGGGCTGGGGCAACCTCTACCACAAGGAAGGAAGTTGTGGACTGAGCTGTCACGGGCTCAGACAAGGCAATAGGTGATTGACTGATGTCTGGACAGCATCCTGCGGGATCACCATGTGTGCAGGGAACAGAGAACAAACCTGACACCGAGCTGCTGTGGATGCTCACAAAATTCCTGTCTCTTGCTACACAATGATGCTTGGATTAAGGTTACGTTCCTCCGTGCTGCATTTTGTCACGCAGACGCTATTTTGGTCAGAAAGCCAGCTAGCCCTTATTTGGGAAGCTGTCCCCCTGAAGGGCAGCATGAAGGGCAGTGAGATGAAAAGGCTGCTTCTGGAGGCAGGCTGGGGGGAGCTGCAGGAAGCCCAAATCTTCCTCTGCTTCTTGTTAACATGCCAACATCCTTTTCTCAGCCTGACCCCTTCCTCTCTTCCCTCAAACCGCATCCTGCGGATGAGCAATGCCCACGCCACCAGCACTCTGGGGAAGACACCAGGAGGGTTGAGAGAAGAACTCCCCCATAGAAAAGCCTTAGTGCTAGAGATTTCAAATGCAGAACTTAGAACAGGTTGGAGATCCGCAGACACGCGGGTGAAGGTGCAGCAATACAAAGTCCTCTGTTCAGAGGCTTTCACTCTTCTTGTCACAACACACATCTGCACCAGACTGACCTTCTTCGCTTACACAGCTGGACCAGCCACTGTCTCCTCCAACACCAGCAGCAGCCCAGGGGACATCTGCAGCAAGGGCTGCAGGAGGATGCTGGGCAGCTCTGGGCCTGCAGCTGAGTCTGCCAGGAGATGTCCACACTACCCTGAACCACAGCTATGCAATCTTGCCTTTGCAGACAAACTTGCTCAAGCAGGGTGGGCACCAGCCACACAGCTTGAGACCTCCGATACCCACAGGCACTTGGGTACCACGGAGGCCAGTGAGATTCAAGCACTGTGGATCTGTCTCTGGGTGACCTACCAACTTGCAAAATCAAAACAAAACAAATAAAACAAATGCACAAACTCTTCAGGGAGGATTAACACCAAGAACCTCTCGCTTGCCAACCTCCTGCCTTTCCTGAGGGCAGCACGGACCAGACAACCTTTTTATCTTGACTATTCAGCAGACTCCAGCTGGTGGTACGAACCCTGTGACTGCACACCCTCTCCAGCACAGCACCCCTCCGGACCAGCATGCTGCCCTTGCACACCAATTAAGTTCTTGCAGCTGACAAACATCAACCACCGCAATGGTCCAAGAGATGGACATGGCAGGAATCAGACAGCTGGGGGCTGCAGACTACCCTCAGACTTTAGAAGCCCTGGACTCCCGAGTTCTAAGTTAGTAAGTCTCTTTATATTGCTTGGTTTAGGGCTGGGTGATATTTTTAATCAATCAAAAACAATTTAAAAAGTGGAAATTGGGAAAGACTTGTGAATTCAAACCATAAAGAATTCAAAATGTTTACCTTGCTTCAAAGTAATATTGCATTTTGGCAATTGGCTAAACTATTTTAAAAAATAATCAATTACATTAATTGGATTTTTTTTTAACCCAGCAGGTGTTTTGCTTCAATAATGCAAAGTCAGAAGATCCTTACAAACTTCCAGCCCTTGTGTCAGCTGGTGGATTTTCACCACCAGGCGGACAAGCGCTGGAATTGCAGCTTCAGGAACAGACCTTTGCCTTTTCACAGGTGGCTCATTTCAGTAACAGAAAAGCACCTCTTGAACCAACTTTGGTTCCAGGTGGGACCTGGAGAGCAAAGCCCCTTCCTGATCTGCAGGACAGCAGTAACAAAACCCTGTCACAGCTCCCCTGATCTCACCAGTCAGCACATTTCTTCCAGTGGGTACTTTTTTTTGTTACTGGAATGAAAGATCTCCACTAAAATACAGGGCTATGAAAAATACAGATATTTTATCTAGTCCTAGAACCTTACACACTCTCATGGTAGCTCCATTAACACTTCAATACTTTCAAGTGTTTCAGAATACACCACACACCATTTCCAACACCAATTGCTACAATCTCTAACACCACAGCTGGCACTCGGTACCCTCCCATTTTTTCAGGATTTCCATAGCTGTAACTACCTTACCTGGAGAGCAAAGCAGCAGACACCTAACTGCCCTCGGAAGTCCCATCTGGCTCTAACAGCACTAGGAACTGTCATAAGAGTTGTGGTACATGAGAATTCTGAACATGCATGCCAATATCAAAAATAATTTTACATCCTGTATTGAATACTATCACCTAACAGTCTAAGCAACGCTGGCTTCAATTTACACAAAATTAAACAAGTTTTTTTTCTATTTTAGAGCTTCACTCAATAACCATTCCACAACTTGAAAGCAGACTCTGAACTACTGAAAGCTCATGACCTGTACCAACGATTACAGCAGAACAGCACTGAGGCGGGAGCAGCTGCTTTACATTGTGCCACGTGGAGGCTGACAATAGTAACACAAAACCTCTCCACAGCTCCGGCTGGCTTGATCTTGCCAAGGAACGAAAACACTCACTGGTCACTACACGCAGGCTTCACACACGACTGGCATCTAAAATACAACTCAAACGACTTTTGGAGGGTTCTCCTCAAATTCGGGAAGTGAAGACTTTGTTACATCCAATTTTATTTTTACAAAAATGCTGTAACACACATGCCAATAGGAAAATTGGTTCTTTGTCTTAAACCACGTCAGTCCTTTTTCTGCTGAGCAGCCTGCTTGGCATTGTTGGCCTGCATCTTCTTCAGCCCCTTTTTGTTGTGTTTCTTCGCAAATCTCATGTTCCTCAGAAACTTGGGATCAACCTGTAAAATTAAGGAAAGAATAAGTCATCTTGTAGAAGGGACGTATGTAAAAACCTATCTATCTCCAGATTGTTCCAATTATTCCCAAATGCTGGCTGTTATTAATTCAGAATTTTTTCCTCATTTAGTACATCAACAAAATCATTTTATCCATACGTAGCCATCCCTTACACTAGCCACTTTCCTGAATTTCTATAAACAAACAAACCCAAAACCACAGCGATAAATACACAGAAAGGACAATTGAGTAAAGTTGTAAACAAGACAAATTTCATTTCCACGTAACAGTACATTCTGGATCTGAAGTACCATAAACCAACCTTGGCAGGTAAGCACATATCCATGTAACCCTTGGGCAAATGCCATTTCCTCAAGCCTTTCCTTTTTACATTAAAGGAAAGGAATGCCAGCACGGAGAAGAGCAGCTCCCCAATTTTGTCAGCTAATGGCTGGCTAACACATCCTGTCATGGCTAGAACCAACTCCCAAAACTGTCCCACTGAGAAGCGTTTGCTGTTTTACTGTAAACAGCACTTTAACTGGCACACGAGCATCAGGATTTTGCCGTCTCAACTCATGCGTGCTCGGTGGAAGGAGACTCAGAGACTGCCGGGCTATCTGCAGGAAAGAGCAGGACTGAACCCTCACTGAGCTGTGCAGAAGACAAGCACATCCAAAAAGCCGATAACCACATCTACAAGGCAAACAGAATCATAACCCTCTCCGAAGCAAAAACATCCTCTTTTCATTTTCAAGTGTAGAAAAAGATCCTGTTATATCACTTGTCTCATATCAAAAAAAGCAAACCGCTGTCATTTTCACATGCATTGTCCAGAAATGCCAATTCCTCTCATCTTCTGAGTGAAATTCTCTGGATTAGTACAGATGGCATATAACACTGAAGAGTACAAAGAAGTAGGAGAGACCGCAGGATTCAGAACAGAGGAGAGCTAGCCAGCTGACATGTGTTTGTTTCACTGGAAGCAGCAGTCAGTGACACCCACCTGAGCGGGACGCATGCAAAATGGGCTAATAACTAAAAGGCAGTTTTATAGACATACAAGGGCAGATTTCACGTGGGTTAGAAATATCACAGCTGCATGTACGGTTAAGCAAAAGATGAAACAGAAACACACAGTGGTTCTGACCATCTGAAACGCAAGCCTCTGTCTGCAAAAAAATATGTCAGTCAAAAGAATACAAATACTGGGAATATCAATAGGAATACTCACCCCTTTGAGAGATTCGTATCTATGGGATCTGGGTTTCTTGATGCCATTTCTGTGCCACTTACGGGCTATGCAGAAGACAAGAAAACAATTTAAGTTACCATTTCTGCTATTATTAAACAGCTGCATTGGCTTTCCTTTAAGTTCAGCTGATCCTACCAAAATGATGTGGAATAGAAAGTTTTGTAACCCTTCCTATCCAAACTAAACGTAAATTACGAACACACCTCTATTCTCATCCGTCTACACGCTGTGCTCTCAGTTTCTAATCCAAGGATTTCAGGCTCCTCGTTAACTAATACCAACAGCAACACTACTAGCACAATAAAAGGCCTCAGCTGCTCAGAAGTTCAAGCATGCGTGTTTAGTGTTAAGGGGCACCACCGCTCACTGTGCAAGACCACGCAGAACCTACTGGTGAACTCTGCTAACTTACAGCATTGATGAAAAACCCCCAAACAGAACTATTTTACCACTATGGCCATCTTTGGATGACAAAGTATCACAGGCTGAATGCCATTCACTAACACGCGTGGTTCAAACGTCTGAAACTTGCCTTTTTCCTGGTTACGTACTATTGTTACGTTGAGCCCAAACAAACCCTGACCCTTGCAGAGCTCTTTTCCCCGAACACACCAATCTCCACATACTGCCACCTCCGTCCCTCGTCA